AGCTTAGAAAGTCCCTTGTACTCTGCTAAATTCAGGATGTAATTCCCTTCTTCCCCCACGTGTCCCTTTATAAGGTATCCAAATGGAGAAATCTAGCCTCATTGAAGCAATAGATTCAAACTTGAAAAATATATGATTTCTGAACTGTTTTCACATTATCCACTCTCCAATTACCCCATTTTTTCATAACTCTTGGGCATTCCATTCATGACCTCATAGAGATTGTTTATGACAAGCATTTATTTTGGAAGATCTTGGAAACAATTCAGTTAAGAACACAGAGCTAGGATCAGAACATTTTAATTTTAAATAATAGAATTTTGAGCTGAAATAGACATTAGAGACTATTCAGCTCCACCTCTTCATTTTAAAAAGAAGGTAAATAAGGCTGCCTTTATCTCTTTGCCTTGGTGAATATTCTCTCTTAATAAATAAGGCAAGAGTAATTTAAGAGACAAAACTGAAGAGCTGGGAATGGGAGCTTTTTATTTTTATTTTTATTAACTGATTGATTGGTATCAGGTTTCATATTATTGCCCAGGCTGGAACTGCTTTGCCTACTTATGGGACTAATCCTACTGTAGATCAGCACAGAAGCTATAATCTCCTTTGTTTCTTACCTGAAAGGTTTTATGTATCCTCAGGCAGCCTAGTTCATTCTAAACCTCACCACCATTTCTGAGGTTCACCACACTGGTACCAGACTTATTTTATATGTTTGACTAACTCTAGCACTACTATAGTTCAGAAATTCCTATCTTAAGCTCTCCACCAATTTCATTCTTTCCAGTAGCAAGGATTATAAGAATATGATACCATGCCCAATGAGGGGAGCTTTCTAGAGCTCAATGCCTATATGTGTTGCGGTGGAAATAGAACCCATCACTTAATAACCTGAACAAAGGAAATTTCCATTGATAAATTCATATGTATCTTGTATGTATAACATTGTGTATGTTCTTCCCTCTGTTTGGACTATATTTTTGTCTTTCTTTCTTTCCCAAATGATTAGCAAAATGTCTGGCACATAATAAACCCTTAATAAATGTGAGTTAACTGACTGACCAACTTTTAGTGAAAGTCTTGTGTATAGAGCAAATAGATATAATATATGACACCACAGATGCATATTTTAATAAAATAATTGTCCATTAGCTTATCTGCATCTTTTCTCCCCTTAAATTAATTCAAAAAATATCACATATCCATCTATGTGACAAATTATTTGAATGAAATATGAAAAGTCTAGTCAATAAATGATGATTTTAAAAAAAACTATGTCATGTTAACCAGCTTCATATTGGGAAACACTTAGTTGACAGACTGAAGTTTCCAACTTTTTTTCTGGATATTTGTCATTGGACAGTCAGAAATGTCACAGTTCGTATATGGTTTATATCTTTTATTTTCCAAATACTAGAGGATTTTAAATAGATAATTATAATATTACAAAGTTGATTTAATAAGTTAACCAATATGAATTAAGCAGCAACAAAGTTTCATATGCATATATGCTCAGTCTTAAAATGAGAGAAAACAAAAATCCACAAAAAATATTACTACATGATTATTATATTAAACCCAAAATGTAGAAAAATTGTAAGATGCAGTTGAAAAGGTTTTTTTAAAATTCTGAATATTTTTCTAAGAATATAAATTATGTTACAATACAAATTAGAAGAAATAATTATTTTCTTTAAAACATGTGGAGTAGCGTGGACAACTAATGAGCTTATTTATAATTTTAGTGAAATATAGGATCCATTAGATTCTAATTGAATTTTTAAAGTTACCTTTACAGTTGACTCTAATTTCAACTCATTGTCTATAAAGAAATTTCTAGAGTGAATTGGAATCTTATTTTCCTTAGGCCAAGGGCTGGTGTTGAGGGAGGGCCTGGGTGGGAATATAATTGCAAATATTGAAGCTTATAAAGGCTGGTTTTGAAACTTTTGTTCTGTTAATAAAGTATTTGGACTCATTGAACTCTAAAGTCTCTCTGTCTTTCTCTATTTCTGTTTCTTTGTCTCTATCTCTTTGTCTCCCTCCATCTCCTTCTGTATCTATCTTTGTGTCTGCCCACCCCCCTCTCTCTTTCTACTTTTTCTGCTCTAATATGTTAGGGTCATAAGAACTGAATGATTACAGATTCTGGTTAGCTGAAAGCTCTTAACTTTTGTCAAATAACAACATATACAAAGTAGGTTCATTTTCCTGTGGCTTGTCACAATTATTTAAAATTGATCTGTAAATGAAAGGTAAATTCCATACCACTTATGTTATATGTAGTGATTTGTACAAGAATTAGGCACATGTGTTTTAGTTAATTAAGACATTATTTATGGTTATTTAAATGACAGATTTTCAGTAATGTAACTACAGTAAACATTCAACATGTTTTTGAAATGAGTTTCTTGAAGTCATGGAACTGCAGCTTAAACTATAAATGCAATCCTGGGTAATTTTGCAATGTAGTCATTTCCTGTCCAACATTTTGAGTAGGTGTTGGCTATGTTTTTCAGTCAAATTATAGAATTTCTTAGTTTGTGTTTATATAAAACCAAAATAACCAACACATGAAATCAATTAGAAGGGGGTTAAGCGAGGAAGGGAAAAAAAAACAACAACCTGGTTTAGAGTCTTGTAAATCTAACATGAGCTTATTTTTTCATTGTCTGACATTGTACAGCCATAATTATGTTTTCTCCCTTAAGAATCCCTCCAAAACTAAGTCTTTTCAGTTCTGGCTCCAAGATTGCCACATCCTGACATCCTTTTTTTCCTTAACAAAGTAAACACTCAAAAATGTAGGAAAAATCATTCATTTATGTCCACGTAACAAGACATAGTCATTGCAAATGAAATTTTGTATACACACTAACAACTAAGATTATTCAGCCATAAAAGAGGACTTTTTAAAAATCATATCTTCTACAGTATTCATCTCTCACTATCACAGAAGTAAATTCAATAAAACTCAATATAATAAGAATATTCCTTAACATTTATGGTATTACAATTTTAATATTTTTAAGATTTATTTTTCCTGTTCTGGAAGCAAAAAAAATTACCATTAGGTGATGTTAGAATAGAGGAAGGTGTAGAAGAGGAAAATGAGAAGATGTTTTAATTTACATATGTGCGTGTGTTTATACATACATATTAAATATCATGAACACAATTACTTTTGTTTCAACTGATAATATGAACTAATACCCACACATAAACATACACATACACACAAACACAAACACACACACACAAACACAAACACACACAGTGTTTTAAAACACTGGGATAAAAACTCTAACACAATTAATTGAATGAAAACTTACAGGCCATCCTACTAAGAAGTGCAATAAAGGTAATATAAATGATTCTACAGGTACCAGAAATAGTAACCCAGAAACCATAACTTGCTGTCCACAAACAAAATTACAGTTTTCCAATGGGCAAAAAGCTTATCGAACATAAACAAAATCTTATTCTGTCAAAGGAGCCATCTACTTTGAGGCTCTTAATGAAAGTATGCTTTATTTTTGTAGTAAAGAGGGGGAAATAGTAGAGATAAAGAGGTACTACTTCTGCCTGATACTCCTGCTAAATCAGATGCTTACTTTGCCAGGCTTTCCATCCTTACTACAGTCTGGCATTCCCCATTGTCTTCCCAGGGACATATAAGGGGGCCAGCAAAGGAGAGTGGGTATTAATGGATAAATTGATGCCATTTTTAATCATTACCTCTCCCACCATTCCTTACTACTTACTACTCTACAACAGTCTACCCTCCCAGTTAAAGTGTGGGCCTGTCCTTGGGACCATGTCTTTTCTAGACAGTTCTTTCTAACCTCAAGAGAGATTAGGGCATGGCAGTGTAGAGAAGGGGCCACTAAAGGAAAATGAAAGCCACTGTCCTAACTACCTGAGGCCACTGAGGTAATGCTAAGAGAGTTCTTTAGACCATTCTTTAATGCGAATTAATTAGAACACTTTTCTCCTGCTACTGATAATGGAGGTAGAAGAGAGGAAAAAAATCCATTAAAATATTGTTTGTCCATTCCCTTACCCCACAGAAATTCCAACAGTTGCTATTTTCACTCAGTTCAGTGAAGAAAAGTGGTAAGAAATTAAATGTATATTACACAGCTCTGCTAACAAGTTCAGCATATTCTTCAACACTGCGGCAGAACTCACTCTTCCCAAGGGATGCTTACATTCAACCAGTCAGTTCTACTATCTGTCCCATACCCAACTGAACGTGAACTGGGATTATAGTCCCAGATAGAAGGAAAGGCAACATATAGTACATCTGGACGACTATTGCAGCCTTCTCTTGTGGACCAGCTACCTCCCCTACCCCATGCTCACAGCAGTTAAGAAAGAAACTCGAATCCGCTCAGCTGGTTTTGGCCCACAGCGTCGTGCTGCTGTCCTTGGTGCTGAAGGCTTTTGCTCTGTAGAAAATTGTAAGGGACAAAAAGGATCCCAACGCTTGTCCACATGGGAGGTTGTATGGCATACTTGCATACATGAAAGGTTAAGGAAAGTCGTTGGAAGTCAGGGATAGGTTCTACTCCCATATCTCTTTCATGCTCCCAGACCCTAAGTGCTGAATTCCTCCGCAGCCCCCCACCCAAACCTCATCATGACCTCAAAATAATACACAGAGAAATCTACTTAAACCAAAATCCAGCTGTAATAATGAGGAAAATATTCTGCAATCCCCTGCATTATCCCCTGCATTATCCTTTTACACAGTGGTCGCTTACCGCCCCCTCCCCCATCACCAATATCTCACTGGGAAAAATGCAGACCACCCTTCCCCCTCTCCGAATTCTCACACACACACACACACACACACACACACCACACACACACCCCTACAATTTCCAAACCCTCTATATCCTGGGGATAGTTTCCAATACAAACTACATTTCTCTCTCTTTACCCACTTCCACCTTCCTCCCATGCAATATGAAGCCGAAAGAAACGCATCTTACCCCGGGTGGAGGGCGAGTAGGAGCAGAACCCACACCATCATTTTCAGAGAAAATGCAGGAGACGAGAGTACCCGGCTTCCTGTTCTCCTTGCAACTGGAGAACTCATCGTTTGGTGTTTTTACTCTTCCTTTCCTCTTGGTTGCAGACGGTTATTTCCTTTCTTTATTATTGTTATTAGTATGCTTATTATTATGTAGTAACTCCCCCACCACCACCCTCCCCTACCAGGTCCCGTCAGTGGGAAAATGCATTGCTTCCAGCCACGGGAATTGATATTCAGAGTGCAGAAATAAGATAAACAGCATAAACCCTTGCAGATACAATCAAAGCGTCAGCTCAGGCAGCAGCTCTCCAAATCTTGGAGAATAATATAATAGAGTAGAGAAAAGAGTGAGGGGTGGGGGTGGGGAAGGCACATAGAGGTAGTTAGGGAAGACAACAACGCTCACAGGCACATTCACACATACACTTGCCCCCACACTCACGCATCACTTTCCAAATCCATCAATTTAAAAAAAGAGAGAGAGAAAAGAGATTTTTTTAAAAAATGAAAAGAAAATGACTGGAGCTGCTGCCTGAATGCAGATTAACTCCGAGGTCAAAGTGGAAGTGATGCACGCTGCTGCAGCGCAGATTAACACATGCGTGGTGTCGTCCTGGCTGCTTTTTAACGTCTGGTTACACACTCATGCATGCAAGTCATGGCTTTCATGGGAAAGGGGTGGGATGCAGACATATCTTAGCTAAGGCCAGAAACAATGTCGCCAGGGACAGAAGGTCTGTCACAATCGGAATTGAGAAGGATATTCATTTTAGGTTTTGTCGTCTCGAGATTTTCATTTAGGTGAGGGGAGGAAGGCTGGTTGTTGCTATGTAACCCATCCATCCCAGCGGTGGAACAGCATTGGTGGAGTCCTCATGAATGAGGTGATAAAGACTGAGATAGGACTAAAAGGAAGATGTAGAAATTAAATTCTTTCAAGCCCTTCCCCTCACCCCTACTTTAAATTGAAGTAGGCAATGCAGAGGCACAGTAGAGGAAGCTGCAAAACAATTCATGTGGGGTTGACTATATGATACCCTCCTCATTCTGTAAGTGAAAATGAGTAGGAAAGGAAATACCACTTATCTATTGGTTAAAAGTAGCAAGATCAGTTTGGAGATGGTCCTCCACACAGAGACTAGAGAGGAAAGAAGCTAAATTAATTAGAAGTAAGGAACTTCAAGGAAATGAAGTCGTTGCAAAACTGATTTTTTCCCCTTGTTTTCATTGGTCACTACCCTACAGATGGCAAAGGGATTATTTTCCTTCTTCCTTCCAATGATGCATTACCATGGATACTGAGGTGTCCATGGAAAACCTCCCATTATTTGAAAATATTTTAAAACAGTAGAAAAAACTACTCTAAATCTCCTTGGTGGGACAAGGGTAGCCTCATGTTGACTGACCTACATTTCTCCTTCCCAGTAAATAGGCAAGGCAAAAGAGTTTTTAAAGGAGTTATAATTGAGGATGACAACCCTAACTTCCAGAGGTGCTATACAGACTTCTACAGACTAAGCAGCATCTCCCTTTTCAGAAGTCCTTGTTGGGACACAAAGGCTTTTGGGGAGCTGACAGTCTTGCAGGGCATTTTGGTGACAGATGAAACAATCAAGCCCCTATCCTGTCTGTAACTCAGTTATTTAAAACACTCTAAGTATAAAAACAACTAGTAATTGTGTGAATCATAGTTAGTTTAAGCCAGTGGAAGAATTTAGGGGGAAAAAAAATCTGGAGAATGGAACCATAAGTATCTCAGCAAAGTGCCTGAAGTTGTGGAGGCAGTAAGAAGTCAGGGGCTATGGAAGTCTTTTGGTAACTATTAAGCTAAAACCAATGAAGAAAATCAATACCCATTTGAAAACCATTTGGTTTCTTCCCTCAGCTGCTAAAATATTGAAGCAAAAATAAATCAGTCACTACTCTCTTTAGCAGCCCTTAAGTTTTATAAAATTTATTTTACTTTCAATTCACTTATAAAATAAAAAAAGAGCCTAGCACCTTTTAAGATGTAGAGCAATGTAATGCGAATTGCTAAACATGTATCACATGCCATTTTATATTCTTCCCAAAGATACTTTATTTTAAGTCTGAAGAGAAAGAACTTTCAGTTGAGTTGGATATGTAGATAATGAACTGTGAATAATATTACTCTGCCTGATGGCTTTGTAAATGCCATTATTTGCCACATATATGTTAGGCTTATGTAAATACTTCTTACATTAATTCTTTTAAAAATCTCCTTCTTAATCTCTCTAAAATTGGAGACATTGGAGAATGCACAGTTTTTTTAGTTGGACAATCTTACTAATCTATGATCAGGCAAGGTGGAAAATAGATGAAGAAAGACCCAATTTGATGGTTCTTATGGATATCAAAATGCTTTAACTATGAAAAAAACCAATCCTGTTTGATTTTCTTCCATAATGCAGAGATGATTTTTTTAGTTCCACATTATTCCTCTCAATATAATAGTTAAAAGATGTGAAAGGCAGTTCTCAGAGAAAGTAGTCTAAGTTATCAACAACCATATGGAAAAAATTATGTAAGTCACTAATAATAAGAGAAATGCAAATTAAAACTTTTCTGAGGTCCCACCTTACACCCTTCAGACTACCTATAATAAAAGAAAAAGAAAGTTAAGATACAATAATGCATTGTTGCTGGAGATATGAATCACTTCAACAACCATTCTATAGCTATACCACCAAAAGCTATTAAACTCTACATACATTTTGACCCAGCAATTCAGCTACTGGGTCCATGCTTTAAAGAGATCAAAGAAAGATAAAAAGGACCCATATGTACAAAAATATTTGTAATAGCTCTGTTTGTAGTGGGGAAAAAATGAGAAACTAGGAGATACCCATCAATTGGGAAATGACTGAAGAAGTAAAAGGATGTAAGTGTTGGTTGGTTTCAGAAACGTTGGGAAGACTTGTGTGAACTGATACAAAAGTGAAGTGAGCAGAACCAGGAGAACAGTTTATACAATAATAGCAATAATGAAAAGATAATTAACTTTGACAGACATAGTAACTCTGATCTACACAATGACCAACCAAAATTCCAGACTCAGGATGAAACATGCCTATCTACCTTCAGGTAAAAAACTGATGTACTCATTTCAAGTGGAAACATTTTTTCTTTTTATTTCATTTTCTTTATTTTTTTTGGACACTGCTAGTGTGGACATGGCTAGTATTAGAATTTATTTTGCATGACTTTGCAATTGGTTTTGTTTTTCTTGTTTTCTCAATGGGTGGGAGAGTGGGAGGGAGGAAGGAGTTATTTTGGAACTGAAAATAAAATAAAATTGACTTAAAAAAACAAGAGGTCTCAAGGAAAACATATTTTATGTTATAAGTATCACTGACACTTTATGAGATACCTGGAATATGTTTCTGAATGGATATACTTTATTCAAAGCAATAAGAGAGGTAGGGGGAAGATCATGGTACCTCTGGATATTAAGAAAGAATAGTCATGAGAAATTTCATGAAAAAAAAAGAAGGAAAAAAGTATGGTGTTAAATGTCAATGCAGAGAAAAGCAGAAGTTATTTTGTCAATGGGATACATTACAAATAACCTGGGTAGATATAGGAAATAAATGAGGAGTTAGGGAAACATCACATACATCGCACAGAGGCAAATTATAATAATGACCAAGGATTTCAATTATCCAGACATCAGCTAGATCACCATTTCAGCTAAAACCTGGGTAGCTTATCTATATCTATATCTATATCTATATCTATATCTATATCTATATCTATATCTATATCTATATCTATATCTATATATATACATATATATATATGTGTGTGTGTGTTCTTTTGTTCAGTTGCCTTTGCAATACTTCTATTCTACAATAGATAGAAGAACCAGAATTCCATTCTATATTTGATTCTTTTTTTTTATAACAATTTGCCTTTTTATTGAGCACCTTAACAAATTATGCCTTAACAGCAAATTTCCGAAGGGGATACAGGCATTCCTTCCTCTTCTGTTTTTTGGTCTTCAGGCTTTCCGCATGCTTATTAAGCCTGCAGTGCATGGCACAGGTCTTCTTAGGCCAGTGCATGGCACAGGTCTTCTTAGGCCGAAGGTCCGGGGGCTTGTATTTCTTGCCCTTACAGAATTTCCTGAGGTTCTATTTCTGTGTCTGGTTGATGACAGTCAGAACTCGGGCAATAGATTTTCAGATGACTCGGATCTTAGAAAGCTTGGATGCAGCTCCTCCAGTGACCTTGGCCATTCTCAATTGGGAAAGTTCCACCTTTAAATCATCTAACTGTTTGAGTAGCTCCTCCTTCTTCTTCCCACAAAGATCACTGGCCTTGATTTTTGCCATGATCACAGAAGAGCCACACTGCCACTGGCTCAGAGGGGAAAGAGCTATTTGATTCTAATGGGTAGAAACTTTATTGGGGCAGAAATTTTGGCAGCCTTTTGGGGAACTGTGACTTAATTCCAGTGTTCATAATAGAGGAGAAGAAATACAAGCATAGTCGGACATATGTCCTCAATTTGGAAAACATGCTTCAAAGGGCTCATTTGAAAAATAAGCACAATGTTATCGATATAAAATGTTACAATGGAAGCCAGTCTAAGGAGGATGGGATATAGTCAACAATGAAATATTGAATGCTGAAAGGTAAATAATTTTAATAAGGAGGTAAAAATGAGTTTTATGGCAAGACTTAAGTAGAAATAAATGGAACTCACTAACCAATTCAGATTTTAAGTGAAATATACAGAAGACTACAGCAAGGTCAAGTATTAGAGAATTTATATAAAGCTGTGGCACTGCCCTGAAAAAAAAAGGCATAATGAGTGTTTGGGCTCAGAATGACCCGAGTCTGTTAAAGGAAGTTAAGGGCAACAAAAGATGTGCTTTTTAGCTATATTGGAAAAAAATAAAACCAAAAAGAGGGATAAGACCTTTGTTCAGAATGAATAGATAATTGACAGCAGAGGGAAGGAAGAGTTCCTAAATTCTTATTTTCTTTTTCAAAGGAGAGTTTCTCTTGTACATGAAAAGATATATTAAAAATGACTTGCCTAGATAAATAAGAATATAGTAAGAGAGCATCTATGTTTCCTTGAATTGACTCCATGCGCCTCAGATGAATTTTATCCTCACTGTACTGAAAGAATTAACAGATATAATTGGTGAGTCATTCTAAGTAATATTTGAAAGTTCACAGGAAATGGGAGAAGTACCATATGATTAACAAAAGTTCTTCTGATTAAAAAAAAAAGAGAACAGAGTATGTAATCTATGGGCCAATGAGATTGACTCAATATTTGATGAAATTGTAGAATGGATAGTTTAATAAGTGTTTGACAGAAATATAGTTACAGAAGTGATAATTACAAAATGTGAGTACAGTTTCATTTAAAACAGGTCATGCCAGACCGACCTTATATCCATTTTAATAGGGTTCCTTAGTGATAGATAAAGTAAAGGCTATTGATATAGATGAACTAGATTTATACTTTTTTCTTTTGGTGAGGCAATCGGGGTTAAGTGACTTGCCCAAGGTCACACAGCTATTAAGTGTCAAGTGTCTGGGACCAGATTTGAACTCAGGTCCTGAACTCCAAGGCTGGAGCTTCATCTACTGTGCCACCTAGCTGCCACCTATACAATTTTTTTTATTAAA